ATACTATACTATACTATACTATACTATACTATACTATACTATACTATACTATACTATACTATACTATACTATACTACCAGAGATAATTCTGAATGAAAGACTTTATAATATTAGGCAGGAAAGAACTTTTTGATTTTTTTGTCAATTAAAAGACTGAGAAGCAACAAGCTACAGGGACTTTACAATCCACAGAAATGTGCTCCTACAGAGGGACAATTTCAACCTGCTTTCACTGTTCTCAGCAGTCTAGGTTGGGTGAGAGGAAACAGATTGGCTTATTTACTTTAATTTCCTCTCTAGATAACAGAGTAATTTCTGCAATGGTTCTCTATTTTGCTATCAGGCCCTCTGCTGGTCTTTTGAATACTCTGATGGTCTAAAGAGGTTTGAGGGAACTGATGGAAATGAAATGCATTCTTTCATCAGTAGGTTGTTAGTAATAGCTGTGAATTAGAAGATGCCCCTTGCTGTCTTTTCCCCACTCCCTAAACTGAGCAAGCATTCCCCAGGGGACTGGCAGAGAGGATTTCAGGCGACTTTAATGCTGAGCGGGTCTTTTTGGCAGCACTTTACATTTTTCACTGCACCAATGAAGCTGCCATGCAGGGCGACTTTCATTCACAGTATGACACAGGAATGACGAAGCGTGAATTTCAGCTGTCCCTGTGAATTATTTAAAAACAGACCAGGCTGCTTGACTCTGCGCTATAAATAAGCTTTTGTGTGACAGCTATGGAGGAAATATTTTTAAAGCGTCTCAGCCTTTCTTAAAGAGGCACGGAGAGGAAGACAGGGTGACCGAGGGTTGAACCTGTGACACTGTGTGATTGTCACCTGGCTCTGTTTATCATCCCGGAGGCTTTCAGTGGAAAGCTGTGAACAGGGTGATGAGATCATCAGGGCCAGGCTCTGTTTGCAGCTCCCCGGGACTTTTGGCAGGTAGTTTACAGGCTGGACTGATCACCCCCATACTCAGCAATCAGTTACATTTACCTCATGAAAAAAACGAGATCTATGTTTTCTTTAGCATCTTCAAATTTACCACCAGGGGAGTGGTGGCCTAGTGGTTAGGGCATTGCGCTTTGGATCCAGAGGTTCTGACTTCAAGCCCTTAACCACACACTGCTCCCCGGGCGCCGCACAATTGTGCGCCGCACAATGCCGTACAAAAATCCCCAAGAAGATGAGTTAAAAGCATAGAGTGAATTTCATTGAGCTGTACTTGTGACAGTGTAATGACAATTAAAAAATTTTAAAAAGCTGGAAAATTCATGGACACTTGAATGTTATGTCATGTTATGTTATCCTGATGCTCCTTCAGACCCTTTTCCATACTCATTTTTCTTTCTCAGAGGCTCAAATGAGAATCTGACTAATCTGTTTGCTCTATGGTGACCCGACGTCCATGATTTCTGGGGACATTCAACATATTAGAGAGGTCATAGATTAACGATTAACCCACCTGCTGGCTACTCCGGACCCAACCTGATCTAAAACATTTATTAATTACCACACGTTGTCTGACGACAGTGTCTAATTTCACTTGCACCACTTCTCCTGTTAATATGGTAAAGCCCACCGGAGCATCCATCAGCAGGCTGCACATGATCGAAATGATCCAATGAGCTGCTGTGAGTCTGGGTTGCTGCTGCTGCTACTTTTAGACACAGCAGGCAAACCTGTGGCAAGCCGGGCGATGGGAAAGAAGGAGAAGATGATGAGAAAAAGAGAGCAGAGAAAGTGTGGACTGCTGGAAGAACTGTGGTGAACTGGTGAAAGAAAAGTGAAATGGTGCTCAAAGATGACCCTGCACATTTAGAGGATGTTTGGCTCAACCTGCTGCTGTGAAGCAGGATTCTCCACCATGAACAGAATCAAAAACAAATATGGATCCAGGCTCAAAATGAGCTCCTTGATCTGTGCTTTAGAATGGCTTTGTCTCCATTCAAACCCAGGTTTAAAGCCTTGCAGGGCAGCATAAAGCCCACTGCTCTCATTAAGACAAAAAAAAATGAAGAAAAAAAGAGTTAAGGATAGAAATAAGTAATATTAGTACCATAATTACATTATGGAAGCCCTGGATGTATATCTGATTGCGCAAATGAGCAGATGATTGTCCTTCTGGGATTGGGTAGTGACTAGTGTTGCACCGATGCCATTTTTTGGGACCGGTACCAGCCTGTGCAGTATTAGCCGATACCATACTAATGCCAACTGTTTGAAATTGATGTGTGTATATATGAAGAACTGCTACTACTTGCATGTAAAATAATTGCCATCATGGCTTTGTCAAGCTGCTGCCTACCTTTGTGAAGCAGGAAAAAGACTAATATAAAGTGAATCCAGTAGAACTTTTTATTGCCTACCTGGAATGGGTGACAATAGTTGAATAAACTTTTGGCTCTCAATATGGTATCAGTGCCCTATTTGTTGGTACTCGCAGATATCGATACCACCATTTTAGGACTGGATCGGGGCCCTGCCTGATCCTGGTATCAGTGCAACACTAGTAGTGAAATAGTTTACCAGCGCCTGCAAGTGAGATGCTGATTGTTGCTAACAAGGTGCAGTAATGTTAGCACTCTTTCGCTAATGATGTTAATCCTGAAATTGACCAAAATAACACTGGTATGAACAAAATCCCACAGGAAAAAAAAAAAGTCTTTCCTATTGATTGATGGGCAGCTTTTAACTGAAGCGCAGCACAAACATTTTGACCTGAAAAGGTCAGATTTCCAGGTGATAACATACATTACAACAAAAATCAGCAGCATCAAAACTCTTTTTGCCTTAGATTTGCATCAATCTTGGCAACAAAGACCAATAAAGAGCTTGTTGATCATAAAACCATTTATCACTGTGAGTCTATAACTCAACAAGATATACAGAGGGTAAAAATATAACACCGGTTCTACAGAGCCTGTTAGGGAGGAGAAGACTTAACACCTTATGCATGCAAATTAGTAGATCCAAACACAAACACACAGCGGTTATGCTGCACACAGCAAACACACACACATACTCTAGTGCAGGTAATTAGTCTTTGTCTCCCTTATTTTGTATATCATCTCTAATGTCGGTGCCTGGGGCCCTATTCTGTGAGCTCAGCAACTTTCTAGCTGCATCAAACCCCCCAGAGTTTCCAGAGAGAGGAAAAACATAAAAATATTATCACTTGTGTTGCAAACAATGTGAGTCATTGGAGCTCCAACCTGGCAGCTGAGGGAATAACCATGAATGTGAAACAAGGGAAGGAAAAATGCACTTTTAGAAGAAATGAAATATATATATTTATATATATTTTTAAACGGTTGTTTCTCCCTGTTTAAAGCTCCTCTGGATGGGCTCATTGCTCCAATGAGAAGAAGTTATGCTAATGATAATTAAGGGGATTGTTTTCCGCTCGTTCCAGGCTCCTCCAGGAGTCTCTCCACTTTGCATCCTCTCCTTCGGGTGCATTTAAGGTGTTGTCTCCCAGTCCTGGCCCCCAGAGTCTGCTGCTCTGCGCGTTTTAGATGTTTTACCTAATTTAGCAAATGGAAAGTGAGGAGTAATAAACCGCTCTCTGGAAGAAGTTGATGTCAAGCTGGGGCTGCGATGAATCTGGCACATTGGAGCAGAGGAACAACAGCATGCAGGTGTATTGTTTTAAACCATTGAGCAATCCTTCTTGACGACAACTTCCAGCCTACAAAGAATTTTGGTGGAATTTTGGAAATCTTTATGGTGCCTTGTAAAATATTTAGACTATTAAACTTTATCCAGGGCTTTTGTGATGTGGGATGTAAAGAGAGAATGAGGAAAAGGCATTATGTGTTTGTATTCTGTCTCATTTACTTACAGTCAGTCTGTCTAATTTAAACATGGGATTAAAGCAGCTGTTCTCCAAAGGCTATAGAGTTGTGTCAGTGAACATTAGTGAACAAACGTCAGGGAGACGGCAGAGAAGTTTAAAGAATGCCCTGGTTCTGCTGGAGGGTTCTTCCTGTTTAAAGGGAGGTTTCCTCTCCACTGTCGCTACAAGCTTGGTGTGAGGGATTGCTGTAGAGTCATTGAGTCGATGCAATCAACTGGTTTTCCTTAGATAGAAAAGAACAAATCTCACTTGTTGATCTGGTTGAATTGACTCTATAAAGTGCCTTGAGATGACACGTGTTGTGAATTGACGCTATATAAATAAACTGAATTGAATGGAATTAAATTGGTTTGGTTAAAGTTTGGTCACTATAACATTAATAAAGCACAACTAAAGCCCCCCGAAAGACTTCAACAAACTACAGGTCAACTTAATGCCCCAAGGCAAAGAAAGGCCCCTAAACAGTTAAAGCTGGTTTATACTCAGAAACCAGGTCGTCTGTGTGTCACAAAAATATGCCCCGCCCCTTCCGCAGACACTCTGCTGCACCTCTCCAAAACTGTAGGTGACCGCAGACAGGAGGCCTCTGATTGGTCAAATCTACATCCGCTCTACATTATACATATTACCTGTTTGGTACCTTACAGGCTTGTTTTGTTTGTATGACCGCCATTGTGGAAAAGACTCATTAAGACGGACCAGCTAGAAGAGCGAGTTGTGCGGGAAAGCTGGGACCCTTTTTCCACCTGGATCCCCGCTCTTTTTCACCCTCATGTCCATCCATTGTTGACAAACATACCCCCGCTTCCTCACCGCCTCGGCCGTATCTAGACCTACAGCTAGTTCCTGATTGTCCCTCTTGTGTTGTGGCGTGGAATAACATAGCGCAGAACATGCTTCAATATTGAGCATAAATCAAAAATATCTTTAATGTTTGGGTTTTTTCCTTCTCAAACTCAGGGATTAAAGTGTTCCGGCCCCAGGCCGGATTTCTGCCCGTGGGGAAAAAAAAAAAATGAATCGAAAATAAATTGATGGTAAATAAAAAATAAAAAAGCCATTTGAAATCCCTCTTGCTTTTGTCAGCCAAAGGTAGCAAAGAAGCGCTCTGTAACGTACAGTATTAGCCAAACAGAAGAAGAAGGGGGCGGGTGCCGTTCGTGTGGTACTGCACACTAAGGGTTTGTGCTTTCCTCACCGAACCCAACCTCTCATTCACACTAGATATAGATGCACTTCTGCCATCTTCTGGCTGTTGTTGGTATTGGATTTTCAAAGGTCAAATTTAGTCTTCAATTATTCATGCAAGCTCTGATCCCATGCCCCCACACCCTCCTGGCATGGCTTGAAAACACACACACACACACATGGTAAATGGCATGTACTTATATAGCACCCTGATTCAAGTCATGAGACTTGACCAAAGCGCTTTACACTACATTCATTCACCCATTCACACACTGATGGTGGCAAGCTACATTGTAGCCACAGCTGCCCTGGGGCTCACTGACAGAAGCGGGGCTGCCGTACACTGGCGCCACAGAGCCCTCTGACCACCATCAGTAGACAATCCAGGTGAAGCGTCTTGCCCAAGGACACAACGACACTGAAAGTCGGAGTCGGGGCTTGAACCGTCAACCCTTCGATTTCATGGCAAACTCCTACATCCAACGCCACTGTCTGTATATATTTTTGCTTTAATCCCTGCAAACTGACAAAAGTTGACATGAGCGCATAAATAGGTCAAAGTGTGAACAGGAAAGAATCTGCATTAGCACAACAAGCAAGAAAAGAAGCAAGAATCAGTTGGGACATACTGGGGGCCTCATGGCATTGAAGCTTCCTGCATAGATCATTGAAAGTGCTAATGGAGAATAGTTCACGTGTATTTATTAACTCAAAATGCTCACATAGGTATGTGTTACATTCAATTCAGTATTACTCTAAAAATGTTAATCTTCTGTTTGTGTTCAAAACATAAATTTAATATGAATAAAACAGTAAATATTTATTTTGTCTGTTGTCTCTGTCTCCAGCGGCTCTCTAAGCAGGAAGCAGACCCGACGACGTGACGAGAAGCTGCTGCCCCCCCTGCTGTCGCCGCTCTCCGATGAGCCGCCACGCAAACGAGCCTGTGAAGGCGGCCCGTCACTCGCCGAGGAGGCCGGTTCTGTGGGGATGCTGCCCTGCTCCACATCATCCGCTTCCTCCTCGTCCTCCTCGCACAGACACCGGAGAGGCGAGGGCAAGACTGCAAGAAACGGAAGCGTAAGTGTTCCCTAAAGGTTAGGCCAACATCTGATGATTTATTTCTTTTATAATAATACAGGACTTTTATGGGACTGAGCGAGCTGATGGTTTCACTTTCTTGTTCTAAGTTTTAATGACGCACAGTAACGTTTGATGCCTAATTGTTAAGCAATTTATTCAGCTGTTGAAACCATGAAAGTTAACGGTCTCTCTACATTAGGACCTGGACTCTGGCGGCGACAAACCCGGCGCAGACAGTTACCATGCCAACGGCCACTCTGACTCGGAGGTGTGGTCTGAGGCCCTGTTGGACCAGGCTGAACCAAGAAGACCAAGGCTGTCATTTACTGACACGTACGTACGACGCAACGGCAGAAAACGCCGGCAGAGTTCAACGTCATATATGTGGCATTATCTGTAGACAGCCTTGATTGGTCAACAAGGAGCAGGTGTTTCCTGAAATCCCAGCCAATCATGTGCCAAATACTGGCCCAACAAAGGTTTTCACTATTAGTAAATTTCTCCTCATTTTCTCACTTGAAAACCAACTACATTTACTGGATTTTAATGGACAGAACATCATAAACTTGCACATTTTAAACCCCATTCACTTTTAGAAGCAACAAGAATTTGTTTGTTTAGAGACTTTTTATCTAAACAATATATATATATATATAGATATAGATATATAGCACTTATTAGCACTTATTTTGCTAATTGATTAATGTAGTTGTGTTTTGTAGGATTTTTTTCTATGTACAGAATTTGAATGAGGTGAATCTGAAACTACCACTTGAAGAGATTTGAATACAGTATATTTAAAGAAAAAACAAAATTATGTATTTCTTTTACAGGTTTGGCTTAATTACTGCTGTGACCGTATTTTATTTTCAGCTAATGGAATGTTTATACACACACATCATTCTATCACCAAATTAGTAATCAAACAATAGCGATTAATTGCTACAGCCGTAATCTAAATCTGGCTGTTCTGTGACGGCCTCAGAGGTTTCTTACACACCACCAGAGAACAAACCGCATGATGATGCTCAGCACACATGAAGATGTGGAGGACTTTAAAGCTGTGTTCTCTTATGATGCATTATCCATCTCCACTGAAACACACATTGTCACTCTTTGGGAATTTAATCTCTTCACAAGTACAGTTAATCATAAATAGATTACAATCTACTACTGATTAATTGTCAATTAATGGTTTATTATATTAACATTTGTTTTGTTCATTTTAAAGGAATTATGTTCAGTGTCATAGTGTGACCCCTGTCCACTAGAGGGCCCACTTGTTCATTTTAAAGGGGGCTATTGGTACTTGCAAGAGAAGTAATGCCAGAGAAGAGGCATGCCTGCACTATAAATCAGCAAATGTTTTTTTCCCCTGTTTAATGGACACAAGGATGCAGAATGAACTTTATATGTTTGTAAATATGAACGCTGGACAAACTCCTTCAGTTCTCACCGAAATAGGGCCATTTAACCATGCTGCATGGTGGAGCAGCATAACGTCTCTGCTGTGCTCTGAAGGTGAGGTTGTGATGAGAGAAAAGAGGAGGGCATTACGCTAAGTTTTTGAAACATGTTAGAAAAGGACATGCCAGCAATTAGCATGAAAGATGGAGAAAACCTCTGTAAACTAATGCCCTTCCTGGAGCCAAATTTTAACATTCCTTTGATAGTCACCAGAACCACCTGAACCACCACCAAACAGAGAGCTAAATCACAGTTGGAGACAGTATAATGGAGTGACATTCTCTGTCAACTAAGAGCATTAAAAAGCATTGAATTAGAGTTACTCAGTCTTGTATAAACTCTGTATATAGTGAATAAATTGATGAACCGTTGGGAAACTCGTGAAGTTGTTGGTCTCTGATGTAAAGGTACCGACTGACTCAAAGAAGTCCCTGTTTCTCTAGTAGGATATAAACTGATCCAGTCCTGAATCATAAAGATCACTGAACACCATAATAAGAACAGTCTGTGGAACAGACGGAATGGAAGAAGTTGAAGCAGCTGGCCCCAAGGGCCCTAAGATGGAGCCTTGGGGAACGCCACATGTTCAGAACTTTTTGGGGTCTCAAGTTACGTATTGAAAAAAGTAACCTTTATGATTTCAGAGACTTTAAGAGTCCCAGGACATCACAAACTCCTCAGAGACAGAAAGAATAACAGCTAAGCCCATCCAAAGTTACACTTTCAGTTTTAAGGATGTTGCGGTTTCTTCTTAATAAGAGCCAAAAGGTGGCCTGTTAGTGTTATGTAGCAACATTAACTACATCAGCACTTGTCCAGTTCTGTTAAAACTGGGACAGATGATACATCTCCGTACTTATTTATCCCAAAAGGCCTCTGCATTATTCATGAAGCATATTTTGTTGTTGTTATTCTAAGGTTACAACAAGCCTGAGGTTTGTATACATAAGCAGGCTTCTGTGTAGTCAGTGATTATGTAAATCACTCCATCATTCTAGCCTGTTTGTTTAGTTATTGCTTTGTGCAGACATGAATTCAATGTCCTCTCTTGTTGTTGTTATTTTACAGAGTCCACAGTGCAGAGTACTACATGCAGGAGGCAAAGAGGCTGAAGCACAAGGCTGATGCTTTGGTAAGATGTTGCACTTCTCTGAAAATCAATCGGTGAATGATCCGCAGTCACCCCTCTGAGTTCAGGCTCAGACAGCATTAGATACACTGCTTTGAAAACACTCGGTGTTTAACTTCTACAGCCTGTGCTGTATTTGTATGCAGGCTTTCAGTCTCTGCAGAATGCAAATCTATTTAGTATCAAGGACTGGACTGTATAATTTGTGTTATTTATTACACCGTTTGTCTCTAAGGGGGCATTGTACTCAAAGAGTGATGATGTCTGCAAGACTATACAGTATCAGAAGAATTATTGGATCCTCCCCGAACAATGAACTGAGATTTATTGAACTTGTTATTTATCTTAGGTGTACTCATTGTTTTCTCAGACTTATCTGGGGGATAAGCATCTTAGTGGAAGATTATTCAAAGTGAAGGCTGCGCTGTTAGGATGCTTCTCTCTGGCATTTCTTCCCGTCTCGACCTGTCTATCATCTTCCTTTTTTTCCGTATGCTGCAGACGGATAAATTCGGGAAAGCTGTGAACTACGCAGATGGGGCCCTCTCCTTCATAGAGTGTGGGAACGCCATGGAGCGAGACCCGCTGGAGGCCAAATCGCCGTATACGATGTACTCGGAGACCGTGGAGCTGATCAGGTATGGAGAACAAGCAGCAGGAGGTAACAGGTCGCACATCTTTGGTTTTTATTTAAAGACAAGTACTCGTTTACGTACTTGTCTGTCAAATACTCTAGGATTGAGTAATCTCTTCTGCCAGTCGAATGGAGTTTTACTGACCTTAATGAATTTTGTTACAACTTTTACTTCTCTGTGTTGTGTAGGTTCGACCTTCAAAAGATCCAGCTCAGGTTCCCTCCACACAGATTAAGACTGGTTTTCATTCATTAACTAAACATTCAGAAATCACTCAAACAGTCAACATGAACCCATCCCTGCTCTTTATTTGCCTGGTCTCAAACATTAGCTGCTAAAATGTTATAAAATCAGAAAAGGTTTATTTCTGCTTTAAAATTACATTGTGGAGTTAGGAAGCTGAGACATTTCTAGCAAGAAAAAAGGTTCAAATTTAATTAACGTCCTCAGACGGAGAGATAAAGCTTCTGACTGAGGCAACCTCAGTACATACATTTATACCTTACAAAATCCCAGGGGAACCAACCCACCCCCTGCATAAAGAACTTTCTCACACTTGAACATTTGGAGTAAAAACAACTTGAGTTAATAAAGACCGTTCCCTGTCAGTTTAATTTATCTTTCACTTCTCATAACAACAGTCCTCCCCTTCATACCATGAAGTAGGCTGTTTAACTCATTCTTATCTCTCATGATCATCATTTAGAGCCTTTGAGGCAAAGAACAGACATACCTCAAAATTTTTTTACTCCACAACATGCATTAGGTTTACAGAAAGCAAAGCTTAAATGTCTCTGTAATGTTAGAGCAACTGTTGTTTCAGCAGGACAAACTGAGTAAATGGATCTTCTAGTGCTGTCTGCACGTCCCAGGCATTATTTTGACAATTTATGACATATTTTGTTGACATATTTGTTTATTGCCCCCCTCCCAGTGGCACAAAAAGTAAACTATAAAGGCACATTTGGTGTCCCAGTTTTTAAAACTTGCTTTTTTCTTCGTGTGTGTCTGTGGTTTTAAAGGTTTTTTTTATTTTATTCTGATTATTTTATTCATAGACCACTAAATCTGTGTGTTTTCATTATTTACAATGTGGTAGTTTGATGTCCTGTGCAGGAAGGAAATTACTGGTCAGTAATTTTTAAGACATTCAAAGTAAAGCTTTAGGCTCCAAAAATAAAATAAATATTTATTTCCATCACTCACATATATTACTGGGTAAATGATCAGCAAGTCATACCAAAACAGAGAGCAAACATATTTAAGAACATATTGAAGGGGCAAAAAAATATACAGTATCTTCCTTTAAGTCCCTGTGATGGTAATCACATACCTGCTGTTGAACTAGTATTAGCCTTTACTGGAATAAGGCTCAACATTTTCTGTGCTTTCTAATGCAGTTAGCATAGTAAACTTTTGAATACTGTGTTTTATTTGCCTGTGTAAATTCTCAGCCATCTATGTCATGGCAAAAATAAACAGGCTTAAATTGGAGAGCCATTGGACTTCAGCTTAGTTTTTTGAAGATGTCTTAAGACCTATCCATGAGTCTTTATCCATATTTAAACTACGTATTTTTAAACCGTACCGAGATCTGTCCGAGCACGGTAACCGAGATAACTGTTGAGTGTAAACGGCACGCAAAACTGAACACAACCGAACTGTAGGGCTCAGCGCGGTTCATTTCTGGCTCACGAGCGCATGAGCAGACCGCATCATCTCCTTACAGTCAGCTTCCTGTAGTTGGCGGTAACGCAGATCAGTAAGTTGCATGCCAACTGCCACAAAACAGCATCATCTTCTTACAGTCAGCCTCCGTAATCATGAAATTTCAGACATTCATAAAAATACTAGCTTCCCTACCATGCCACACGATTTCCAGTGGTGATTCTGCTTAGCAGTGTGATCAACCTCAACGTCTTTCATTGTTTCCTGCGTCTGTAAGCCCTGATTAGACTACACAGCTAAAACATCTAGAAATGAGTCAACATTTCTTAAATTAAGTGTATTTGTCTTTAATTTGAGTAGGTAAATTAGATGATCTGCCAATGAAATTAGTATTTTTAGTCTTAAAATAAAATAATTTGCTAATTTGCACGTAAAAGAAGACAATGCAATTGTTTTTTCCTTATTTTGAATGTAAATTGTTTTGTTCCATTGGCAAAGTGTCTCACTTACGTCCTCAATTCAAGAAAAGATTCACTTATTTTAAGAAAAAATGACTAGAGTTCGATTTTTTCCAGTGTATTGTTTGTCATATCCACTTCCCAAAAGCCAAATCTGTCAAGTAAATTCACCAAAGGCTGCCTTCTTTGCCTGACTTTCCACAAACAACAAAATTGTAACCAAACTTTCTGAATGTTAGGGGCGCCACCATTTTGATTTGCTTCTTTGTTGTTAATGGTTAATAGGAGGTGAGGAACTGTGGTAGCCTGATGTGTAAACGGTCATAAGGAACCGAGCACGGCACAGTTAACTGATCCAAGCTCGGTCCGAACTCTGCATGGATCGGTTTCAGAGAGGAAGTGTAAATGGGGCTTTTGTCAACCCTGCTCAATCGCCACAGACCCAAATCACTATTATTGAATATTCAGTTTAAATCTTCCTTTTATGTAAATTGAAAATTTGTCATTTTATCTTTATGGTAAATACTGCAGCCATGTATGTTTCCATCCATTTCCACTGCAAATGACAAACTAGACTGTGCCTGTCTTTAATCAGCTGGACCCTTCAGCTCAGAGGCTTTTTGTTTTTCCAGCCTCACACAGCTACATGGTTGCTAATCCGTGTTATTCAGCCAGTGCTACGCCACCAGATCTCAGGGTTTTGTCTTTTGAGAGCTGCATGCCAGCTTTTCTAACCAGTGAGTGCGATTCAGAAAGAGCGAGGCGCGAATAATAAATGAGTGGCTCCATCTGAGCGGCTCCGTCTGAACGGTGCTGGGCCGACGGCGGGGCCGTGAAGTGGGACACGGTCATTTAACTCGAGTGTCAGGGTTCAAGATCCGCTCATCTGCACTCATCCATCCTGATGGAGTGTCCTCGAGCAAGGCACTGAATCGCTGGAAGAAGCAGGGTTTCAGATCAGTGGTTTCCCCTTTGACTGCTCCCCTAAAGAAACGACAGCAGAAAAGATGAGAATTTGTCTTCAAAGATCGATAAATAATAAAGCTGTTACTTCCATAAATCTCCAATGATTAATGTCCATTTGGTTCTTAAAAACTCTTTTATTCCATCAGTAACAGATTAATTTCTCTAAATTTTCCTGAAGGGGTGAACATATTCTCTTTCTTACAGGTATGCCATGAGGTTAAAGAACTTCACCAGCCACTCGGCCACCATCTTGGAGAAGAGGCTAGCAGTTCTTTGGTACGTCCTTCCTCTTCACTCATGTGTTTGTGTGTCAGCTTCATACAGAAGAAGGGAAACCTACTTTTTCTGCACCTAATTTCTTTAATCAGGGTTTCCGCGGGTCATTAAAAATCATTAAGTCATTCAAATATTATTTTTTAAATTAAGGCCTTAAAATTCATTAAATGTGATTATCATGGCATTTAAAATGCTTTATTAAAAAAATAAATAAATAAATTTATAAAAACAATTTTGTCGGATATATAGAATATAGGTGGATCTGCGTGTTTGCACAGAACTGCTTCCGGTTGATCGTAAAGCCGTATGTTCGGAAAAGAAGCTTGTGGTGGAGAAAAAGCGAGATTAGGAAAATGCGAATTTCAAAAAAAGTGGCTGGAAAACAAAAGATTTTGCCATTTTTAATATATATATATATATATATATATATATATATATTATAAATAATTCGGTGCCTCAGGTCAGCTGACCTCCTGCTGCTGGAGGCACTGAGGTCCAAACAGAGGCTCAGAGCAGACAGAGCTTTTTAGGTTACTGCTACAGATTTGTGGAATGAGCTCCCCCATATTAAACAATCCTTTTTAAAAATCGTCTTAAAACCTCATTTTATTATTTGTTTTAATCAATTTATCTTATTATATTTGTTTTATTTTTTAAACTTCTATCTTGTTTTTATACAATTGTAACTTAACTTGCTATGTACAGCACTTTGTGGCAGCTGTGGTTGTTTTAAAGTGCTTTATAAATAAAGTTGAGCTGAGTGTAAATAAAATGGATAGTATACTATTTAAATAAATATGACAAGTTTTTTATTATAAACAATAAGCAGTGATAGCTAAGCTTATTTAGCGACAGCAATGTGTTCTTACCTGCTACGATGTGATCAGTTTGGTAACAACTTTCATCTTTGTGGAGTTTTAAACGTTAGAAGCACTAAATAGTAGGGAAATAGCATCTCCGTACACGGTTTTCCATCTTCTGTAAAAATTCAGCCCCTCTGACCTCCTCAACCAATTCAAATGTTTGTTGTTTGATGCATTTTGCCATAAAGTCCTCAGACCTAAGCAGTCCAGCTGACTGTCAGTGCTCTGTTCCAGGCAGAACATATCCTCTTAACTCCAGAAAAGCAGCACAAACTAATGTCTGGTGTCAGATAGTCCTGAAAACAAACAGCAATCTGCCTTTTTACCAGATTAATGTTGTTTATAAATGATGTTTGCACCACTAACGACTCCAGGCTTCCCTCTTTTTGTCCCTTTTTTGTCTTTCTTTGCTTCCTTGAACTCAGTGTAGTGTAAAATAAATGTTGACATGCCCAAAGCAGGCATATGGACACATCTAGTCACCTTTTTTTTGTCAGAATATGCAGATAAAATAAAAGCTAAATTAATATTGACATAAGTCTCCTCTCATAAAGGGCCTTTCTGAAGTCTTTGATTTCGCAGTTGATATTTCATCCTGGAGAGAAATATTAGCTGTGCTGCTGCCATCAACACCTTTGTTTATAGGTGTTGGAGATCAGCCTGTTTTCCAGTGTAATCCTGTTTCTCTGACCGTGACTAACTGGATGTGCTCTCTTCATCCTCTGACATGGGAGCTGGCTCAGAGCTCATCAGCCTGGCTGTATGTTTCCTGGACGGGGCCGCCTTTTACAGCTGCTTTTTCTATCTCTGCTTCTGTCTCCTTGAACCCCAGTCAGCCTCAGCAGATGGCCGCTCACACTGAGCCTGGTTCTGCTGGAGGTTTCTTCCTGTTAAAAGGGAGTTTTTCCTCTCCACTGTCGCTACAAGCATGCTTAGTGTGAGGGATTGCATTCAAATCAATGAGTCGATGCAATCAAGCTTTTCCTTACAAAAGAAAACTTTGAATCATTTTGACTGGATGATCTGGTTGAACTGTAAAGTGCCTTGAGATGACATGTGTTGTGAATTTGGCGCCATAGAAATAAACTGAATTGAACTGAATTCTGTGTGGATTGTATAAACAATATTTTGCTTTACCAGGAAATCTGTACAGAGGATTCACGTGCCTCCTAATGTTTGTGTTCCCACAGTAACCGCTGTCTGTCTCTGCTGTATCTGAGGATGTTCCATCTGAAGAAAGACCACGCTGTCAAGTACTCGCGCTCGCTCATGGACTACTTCAAGGTAGCAATTGAACAGAGTTTATTTCCTTCCCCTGTCTCTCATCGCCTGCCTCAGTGAAGGGCGGCGCAGCGCCAACTGCAGTCCCCTAAAACTCATTTCAGATCCATTTTCATGCCGCCTGTGCATTAATTTTGCATGCCGTTGTGAAATTCCTTTCTTTTTCCTTTAATATTAATGCACTAATTAGCTCCATCCATCATCACAGTGGATTGTTGCGGTTTAATGTGCTTGTTTTGATTAATTACGTTTAGTTGAATTAATTACTGAGGATGTCATTATCACAGTTCTGCGTTTTACACTGATGGGATTGGATTTCTGGGTAGGAACTGACAGGGGGTTTAGCTGCGCATATGTGCGCAGGCTGTTTACAGACGAGATGTGTTGACAGAGTCAGAGCGGTTCATTTTGCAAAACAACAGTCAGAGCAGTTCTGTAACTCATTTAGCCGACTAACGTTTCTCAGAAGTTACAGCCTGGAAAGGAAGGAAATTAGCATTTAAAAAAAGAATAGAGATGATTTAGAGAATTGTGTAAATTACAGAGACATTTTAAAACTGAGGAAATTCATCTTTTGGTCAATCTGTCTTCAAACCTTCATCCTCAAAACTTTTTTTGTACCATTTAAATAAAAAAAAAAAAAAAAAACACACAAAGGCAGTTTTATAATGCAATGAATTAGAGGGAACCTAAAGTTGTTGTGGAGGATTTGCAATAATTATTGAAGACCTGCTCTCTCCACTTAAAAAAAATGCACACTGCAAAAAACTAGAAATCTAAATGTCATTTTTAATAAAATAAGTGCATTTTTTCTTGAATTTAGTTGGTAAGTGAGACAATTTGCAAATGGAACAAGACAATTTACATTTAAAATAAGAAAAAACTGTTTCATTGTCTTATTTCAAATGCATATTATCTAATTATTTTTATTTTAAGAGCAAAACTACTAATTTCATTGGCAAATCATCTAATTTACCTGCTCAAATTAAGGGGAAATACACTTAATTTAAGATATGTTTACTTATTTCTAGATGGTCTAGATTGTTTTTGCAGGGCACATNGAAAGGAAGGAAATTAGCATTTAAAAAAAGAATAGAGATGATTTAGAGAATTGTGTAAATTACAGAGACATTTTAAAACTGAGGAAATTCATCTTGTGGTCAATCTGTCTTCAAAACTTCATCCTCAAAACTTTTTTTGGACCATTTAAAAAAAAAAAACACACAAAGGCAGTTTTATAATGCAATGAATTAGAGGGAACCTAAAGGTGTTGTGGAGGATTTACAATAATTATTTAAGACCTGTTCTCTCCACTTAAAAAAAAATAATAATATGCACACTGCAAAAAACTAGAAATCTAAATAAGTTATTTTTATTAAAATAAGTGCATTTTTTCTTGAATTTAGGTGGTAAGTGACAATTTGCAAATGGAACACGACAATTTACATTTAAAATGAGAAAAAACTGTTTCATTGTCTTACTTCAAATGCATATTATCTAATTATTTTTATTTTAAGAGCAAAACTTCTCATTCCATTGCCAAATCATCTTATTTACCTGCTCAAATTAAAGGGAAATACACTTAATTTAAGATATGTTTACTTATTTCTAGATGGTCTAGATTGTTTTTGCAGGGCACATGCACAACTCTGTACCTGCTCCAGAGAGGGAACGCCTATTAAACATGTACGAGTGAATGCACGAGCACATTTCTCCTCGTGCACGCTCTGTTTAAAAGTTACTTTCCAAAAGAAGATTTGCAATTTTCCCACTATGTCAGACTCACCACCGGTAAATGAAAATGGAGACGAGCACGTAGGATGGCCTTATGTAAACATAGCAACAGAATGATTGACAATTAGGAGGACCACTTATTTTGGTGATCAACCCAGAAAAATAACATCCTCCACTATACCTCTAAATATTCCCTCTAATTGTTCATGTGCCTGAGCATAAACAAAACCCCCCTGGGTTCACTGAGGACCCCTGTGAGCAACATCAGATGTGATCCTAGCAAGTTACATGGCTTATTAAAAGAATAAGAGATTACAGCAGCAAATTAGATTGTTTTTCTTTTAATTTAAGGGATTTTTCCCACTAGAGTGGAGTGGCAGCCTAGTGGTTAGGGCATAGAGCGTGGAATCCTGAGGTTGTGAGTTCGAGCCCAATTCCCACAAACTGCCTGTCTGGGTCTCTGTGCAAGACCCGTAACCCTGCACTGCTCTCTCCACGATGGCAGCCCACTGCTTCCCAAGGGGATGGGTTAAATGCAGAGGTAAATTTCTCCAATGTAAGATCAATGAAGTTCAATTATTTTATTATTAATAAATTAACAAGCTAAAATTTTTTCCTGTAATGGATGTGTAGTATGCTATAGGAGTCCTGCTTTGGCAGGAGTGAGGCTCCTGCTCTGGAAGAAATGAGACGTCTCACCTTTCACACAGAACCTTTTAACAAAACATTCACATTCTATACAATGAAGGGTGCTGAAGCTTGTGAGACAGTTTTTAGACTTAGACAACATTTATTGTCATTTTGTACTGTATACACAGAGTATACAGTATACGAACCAAAATTTAATTTTGAACAGCTTTCAGACAGTAAATGAGCAGCAGCTTAGCAGTGAAATAAATCTACACTTCATAAAGTGCAGCAGTGATCAAATATAAACAGTGTAGGAGAAAAAAAAAAAAATGTGGCTCAAAAACACATTTATATGGAAGTTCAGAGCATTTCAGGACAAATATATACGGTGCAAATATGCCGTATTTTGGTTTGGTGTTATCAGTGTGATGCAGAGTCTATGACATGATTTAGAGTTTTTTAACAGTTCAGCTGTCTGATGGCGGTGGGGAAGAAGCTGTTGCAGAATCAGCTGGACTTGCATCGAATGCTGCAAAGCCTCTTCCCAGAGGGCAGCAGGGAGAATAGTCCATTCTAGCGTTTCTACTGACATAAATCATATAATAGTTTTAGGAATTTAATGATTAATATCAATAAATAAAAAAAGTTTACTGGATGTCTCTAGAATATTAGTTCTTAAATTTTATTTTTCCTCCTCACTTCTCCAATGGTTGTCCAAAAATACCAATCCGTAAAGTTAGTTTTTTTCATAAATATGCTGCAATAATGTAACTAGTTACTGAGCTTTAAAAAAAGTACCAAAATGGGCCGAATCTCGAGACAGAGCTGCAAGGTTTGACATTTTCACTGTTCCTCTGTTTCCTGTTCATCCGGTTGTTATTTTTTCTTTAAGAGAAAAATGCAGATTAAAAATTAAAACTATAAAACAAAACTTCCTTTTGTAAATAATGTTATATAATTTTGATCTTATATAGAGTTTTGTTTCCCTTTTTAAATTATTATTCATAATTGCTTGTGTTTCTTTTCCTAATATTAGGCCCTGCGGTACACTAATGTGTTAAATGATTGTGAAATAAATTAGTTGTTTTATTATTGTTTTATTATTTATTATTATTTCAAGATACATGTTTATAAATATGCCTAAACTTTAGTTAATCTTCACTGTCTTGTTGTAAACCCTTGCCTCTGGATTGTCTTAATGTTTTGTTTTTTTCATTTTTCTCCTAAGATTCCAACTTGTGTTTTCCTCCTACTGCTCAGCCGTAAACAACATGCATTAATAAAACTGTGTTTTTGTCATCCAGAATTCGGCAAAGAGTTCCCATCAAGCCCCGTCTCCTTGGAGGACCAACGGAAAGTGAGTAACCGCACACACCAACAAGTATCAGCCCCTTGGTTCACCTCCATAATTGAGAATTTATAATTCACCGGAGCTCTGCTGCAGCTTTCCGAGCCGGCGCACGACAGCCGCTTGCTCAAACAAACCCCTCAGGAAGCAAATAAAGGGATTGATTTGTTGTAGATGTGAGAAGGAGAAGACTGGAGGGGCTGCTGAGGAGGAGTGATGGAGGCATGGAGGCAGGGATGATGGATGGAGGAGGAGAGGCGTGGAGGAGTCGCGGATGTGAAACTAATGAGTTTGGACAGCTCTGATGCTGCGCAGCAGCAGGGTTGGAGCTCGCTCTGAGTGTGTTGGGGGGGGGGAGTGGTACTGAATTAGACACAAGTTGGGGGTCGGTGAGGTCAAGGCCACATCACAGACATTACATCACTGGCACAGACCCGTGCCCTGCTGCGCTACACAGGAAGATTCATTCGTTCTGACACGTCTTATGTTCGTTTGCTGAGAATATCAGAACGGCTCTCACTTCTTCTACTGTTTGAATTAAAGAAGCCCCCGCCCCCATTTACTGAATTCTAGACCTAAAGATAGAGGCAATGTGTTGACGTGGTAATAACCTGAGAGGTTATGGTTTCAGTCGTGTTTTTCTTTTAGAAAGATATCTTAAAAAGTTAAGAACAGATTTTAATAATATTTCTATCAGAGGTGTGCCTCAGTCCAAGGAACAGTCCATTAAATGTTGGTGATGATCCAGATTATTATCTGGATACAGGAATTTTTTCAAGGATTCTTTAACATTATTTGACAGAATAAGCAGTTCATCCCTAAACCAGAGGGTGGCAGCAGTGACTATTAAGAGCTTCAGCACTGGACTCAAAGGGCCCTGTCACAGCTTGCCGATTTAGACAGCGTATTCCCGACGTCCCAGAATCTCTTAAATGGCTGGCATACGCTGAACTTTCTATGTATTTTTTTAAGTTTTTTGCCTTTACATAGCGTATTCATAATGAGTCCAGAGAGTATTTCCATAGACAGCCTAACTTATTCATAACGCACGGCAGCGTAATGCCCATAAAATGATGCACAATCCAGTGTCCTGAGGGGGGCAGCGATGCACCCTGAGGCCCCTGGTCCGCATAAAAAGATTTATTTGATTGCGGTATTAACCTAGCTGTTTAACACCCACCCAAAAAAAAGAATAAATAAAAAGAAGAAGAAAGAAGGTTTGCTGTTGTAGTGGATCAGCGTCATGTCTGCTAGGAATTTGTTGGTCGTGGGCATGAAAGCAGGAGGATCCATCAGACTCACCTTCTCTCTCACCCTATGATGGGGATGAAGTCTGGAGGAGAACTGATGATTTCCTCCTGTGAACCCCCTTTATACCAAAACGGCGCCAGTATGCTGTTTTACAGTAGCTGTAAGTTAGGAACACGTTCAGTGGTCATCTGCAACGCGTCAAATACGTTGATATACGTTGGAGAGAAGTTCTTGATAAGTTACGCATAAGTTATGCCCAACTTACTCACAGGTTTTGGATAAGGTAGATGCCAGGACTTATGAGTAACTTACACTTAACGTATGTCAACGATCAAATAACTAACCTGTAACTTATGACCCATGTATGGCATACGGTGGCATACAACAAGTAATGTCAACGTGTTCCACCATGCTTCAGCATTCTCATAACGTATACAAAACGTATCCATAACTTATCCAACGTATGCCAGCATTTTTGCCAAATTTTATACCTGACGTATGAAAAATCTAGCAAAAATGCTGGCATATGTCAGACATACGCTGATGTAACTACACCCCGATTTACAGCCTGACTGCTGCTTTCTAGCTGCATTAACTGAAGCTGTGTGCAAACTTTTAAACTTTGGTCCAATAAATTAAGTTTAAAAAAATGACTTCAGTTTTGTTTGGCTTCAGCAAAAGAATATTTTGTTCATCCATGCCTTGATTTCTTCTCTTTTACTCATAGCTGAAATAGGCTCATAGTCTCTTGGGGACAGAGTGATGAACAACTGGGTGTCGTCTTCATAGCGATGGTGACTTTTGTTGTTGTTTTATAAGACCCGAGTTAGGGGGAGCCTGTATATACTGAATAAAAGGGGCCCTAAGATGGACCTTTGGGGAACATCATATAATTTCTCTGGTCTCTGATATAACCTGCTTCCCGAACTACTTTAACCAGTCCAGTGGTTTACCAGAAAGGCTGAACCAGTTTTCCAGACGCTCTAATAAAGTGTAGTGATCAATGGTATCAAACGCTAACCTGACAACAGCCAGATGCATGTCTCGCTCCGCCTAGCTCCACTCACATACATCTGGGAAACCGCCATAGGAATTGCCTTTACTGAAGGCTGGGCCTTATCAAAACTCCTTGCATATGATTGGATAAGCCACTTGTCTGTCATCTTTATCGACGTGCTATTTCAACCACTCACACCGAAGCTAACCCGTGACGCTGTGAGAGCTACGCAGGAAAAAAACAAAACAGAACAGCCGACATCTTGGATATAGCAACAGTGGAATCAGCGCAATGTCGGTAAATGATCAATGTCCTTTGGGCCATGAAAATGTGCGGATAAAAGGCAACATTGTGCAAAGCAGACTTATTTAAAAAAAAGAAGCCAACCAAAAAAGTATAGACGAACGACTTACAGAACTCGCTTCTCCACTACGTCACATGCAGGACACACCCGCCCTGCGTCCTGATTGGCCAGACCATAAATTTGGTTGTGGAAATCGCTTTCAATGAGCGGTGTCCCAGATGTATGTGAGTGGAGCTAGGCGGAGCGAGACATGCATCTGGCTGTTGTCAGGTTAATCAAACGCTGCACTGAGGTCCAATAATATCAGCACTGTGGTTCTTCCACAGTCTGTTTTATACAGATATCACTGAACAACCTTGATAAGGAAAGTCTATGTACTTTGGTAGAACCTGAGTGGAAGACGCTGAATTAGCTGCTGTTTGACTGTTGAAACAGTTATTTCAATAATCTTACTGATAAGGGGAAGGTTTGAGATTCTGCTGAGATGAGCGACTTTAGGAGGAATCTTAAAGAAGTCTACAGATATCAGAGTGAAGGGGACTTCTCACCATATTGTTTATTTATTTTTGTCTTGTTATATTAAATAAAATTCTACAATTAGGGGGATATGAATCCAGAGATTAAAGTGTTCCGGCCCCAGGCCGGATTTCCGGCTTGTAGCAATTGTACATGGGTAAAAAAAAAAAAAAAAAATCACTCGAAAATAAATTGATGGTAAATAAGTTAAAAAAGACAATCGAAATCCCCCTTAAGTTTGTCAGCCAAGGGTAGCAAAGGAGCACTCTGAAATTAACAGTGTTAGCCAATCAGAAGAAGAAGGGGGCAGGTCTTAGGAAAGCGTCTACATCATCTCGTTTCTTGCTCAAGTCGCCAGATAGATTGTGGTACAGTGTTACACGTAAGTTCTAAACGGAAAGTCACCTTGCTCCGTTTACAGCTCCAGTCAAATGAG